AACAAGAGAGAAGACAACCTAGCTGCTCTATTTATTTAGGGAATGCCTCCGGGAGGCGGTTGTTTAAAGCGAGATGGTCCCTCGCTCGGGGAAAGGGTGGCTGAGCGGGCCTGGGGGGAGCGGGGTCCGCCGTGGGTCGTGTTTTAAGGAGGGGGACGGGGAGAGCCCTCTCCCCACTCCAGTTTCTTGGCTTCCCCCCTGTGCCCTGGGGGTGGGGGTAGGCACGGAGGCGTCGACCTACCCTCACGCAGTCACTCCCGCACCTCGGTGTACCCACACGCACACACGTATAGACGAGCGCACACGTGCGTGGTGTGAAGGCGTTGATTTGGTGACTTTTTCTCCCTAGGGTTAGGTTTGGTTTGGTTCTGTTAGGCCAAGCACGGAGTTATAACCCAAGGAGGCATCTCCTTCAGGTTTCTCCCACCCTAGGTCTGCTCAGAGAGCCACAGGTTGATCTTATTAATTATTTCCAGAGTTTCTTTTTTATACCTCTTTTGGGGAGGCGTTCCCCAGTTGGCTTAAGGGGGGGGTGGGGGGTATTTTTCCCTTCAACAAACCAAAAATCGAATTTTAAAATAATCGATGTAGAAGCCACCCAAACAGGCGGCTCTGACGGCCCCAGGACTAGAACAACCCGCACTTATTTTCAAGGTTTCGAGGCTAATTGGCATTTAGCTGTATCTGAGGCGGGATGGGAGGGACGGGGGGAGACTCCACCAGATGGGGTGCCATGCATTCATATTCTTGCTACGCGAATCAGAGCGGGCACCTTTTCCCTCCCCAGCTCCGGCTAATCCCGTCCCTCAGCACCCAAACCATCTACCCTTCTTCACGGCGATTGGTCCTTCCTGAAGACTGTCTCAACTTAAAGAGCCAAAGAAACTAGATTTCAAATTACATGCTGTGCAGGAGATAGTGTGACCCAATACATAAAAAATCACCCTAAAAATCTTCCACTATGGATGGTGTGTGACAGGAGGCTGTTTCAGCTGGTCAGACAGGTAAGCTGGAGCGTGGGCAGGGAGGCAGATACAGGAGGTGTGTGGGAAGTTTGTGGACTGAATTGTGACAGTGGGTAGAGATCTTGCATAAGTAAAGAGCCTGCTTCTGATGTGGTGCTGAGGAGTGGCACAACTCAGGGGTGGTGAGCTTCCACAGCCCCACAGCGTATGAGCTGCACCTACCAGGGCTGGTCAATGACTCTACGTAGTACGAGTCTGAGCATCTTGAAGAGGTTGGAGGGAGGAAGGGGCAGTGTGTGGCAGGGGACATTCAAAACCTTGAAGTGGCTTAATGGCTTCCCTGCTCTGTTATGCAGAAACCATGATCCTTCTGGGGTCTATAGAGCGATCTGAACTGCAGACTCTCCTCCAGAGACATATAAGCCCAGAACGGCGACGGCTCCTCCACAGAGAAATGCAGCAGAAGCTGTCTGAGTCACCCTACGATGGGCACAGCAAGGGGCCGTGGGCAACCCTGCCAAAGCTGAAGCACGAATCTTTTGCTTATGTTGACGAGGATGAGGATGCAGATGAGAAGGGAGAGGTGAGGGAGAGAAGTGGAGAGACTTATAGCCCAGAGCCTGCTTAAGAAGCAGTAAGGCATTTGGAGAGGCTGAGAAAGAAATGACACAAGGTGGACTTTGTTTTCTCCCCTTTCTGTAACAGCTACCTCGGCCCCCAAGTCCCACTCCCAGTTACCCAGAGGAGCCCAATGGCCCAACAAGTCCTCTTAAACAAATACCTGAAACTTTGGAGCCACAGCAACTCCCAGGTATGGTAACTTCTGGCATGCCTCAGCCACATCCTAGCCAGCTTGTGGAAGCTTCCATGCTAACTGTGTGTACGTGCCTGTGCGAGGTGCTGGTTTCCCAGAGACTGAGAGAAGGACCTTTCTCTGCTGTTCCTGTATTAAAGGTACTTTGTGAATGCACCTCAACATCAGTGTAACGTACCTGGAAATGTCTTCTGTTTGTGATCCCTCAGAGAGCATGGCTAAAGTAGACCCACTCAGGCTGCTCTCCCTCTGCCAGTACTCCCCACACTCCATCCTTTGCAATAACATCTCCTCGGACGTTTTCTGGAGAATCTGCATGGAAGGGTCTTGTCTCCTTCACCCCACGAGTTATTTTCCCTGGGAAAAGCAGCCTGAGCACTAAACACCTGTACTTGTTTTTTGAGTAGCTTAGGCTGTTGCTCAGCCATCTCCAAAACTGAACAGCTCCTCCCTTGGACACGCATCTCTTTGATTCAGCTACATTAATATGATGGAAAAATACTGGTGTATTGTGCTCTTTGTGTGCCACCCCAGCTTTGCTTCCAAGACTGTACTCATAGCTCATTTCTGATTCGTATGTCATGTATATTTGATGCAGGATGGTGTTTTGTTGGGTTTTTTCTCCTGTATGTGTCTTGAAATATGCAGAGAGTGAGTAAGCACAGAGGTGTAGCCCAGTCTTGAGAATGAATACGGAGGGCTCTGGCTCATGCTTTTAGGCTCCCAACAGTTAGCACGTAAAATAACATAGCACATTCTGGTTCTGTAACACCACTCATGTATGACTAAACCTCGAAGGCATAGGAAATTCCTCTTTATGCTTCCAGGGCAGTACAGTGGTACTGTATTCTCACCTCCCCTTTCTATACTCATCCTCCAAATGACATTCTCTTTGTGGACTGTGGAAACCTCTCGTCACAGCATTTTTATCCCTTGTAGCAGATTGTTTGCTGTGTTAATAGTCTTGCTTCTGGGCTTTGTGGGTTTTTGGGGGGGGTTTTTTTTTTTGGTTTTTTTTTTTTTTTTTTTTTTTTTTTTGTCCTTAAGGGCCCCATAAAAGAAAGAGAGGGAAGAAAGTGAGGATTAAGGGAGAGCTAATAGCACGTTTGCAAGGAAAAATACAATAATTAAAATAAAAAAAAAAAAAAAACCAAGCTGCTCGGTTATCAGAGACTTGTCAACAGTATCACCAACAACAACAACCTCCCCCTTCCCCTCCCTCCTCCCCCCCCTTAAAAAAAAAAATTAAACGGCCTTCCTAGGAAATGCAAGATAATCCCAGAGCGGAATTACTGTTTGGCAGGACAGGTACAGCGGAGTTGCAAACAGCTTCCCCATCACACGTGTCGCCTCTGCCTTCACCTCCCTGCTTTGGATGAAACGGGGCACTGTGCTAGGATCCGCTGGCAGTTAGGAAGTGAGGTGAGGACGTTTCCAGGAACAGAGCCTTTCTCTTACCTGAACCCTAGCTTCAGACAGTCCCAGCCTCTGGCTTAGTTCCTCCCTCATGAAGGCATCCGGATAGTGAGTCTCATCAAAAAGTCTTTCCAGCTCATTCAGCTGCTCTAGTGTGAAATTGGTTCTGCTTCTCCTTTGTTTGAGCTTGGTCTGTCCATCTTCATCTTCTGACTTCACATCTTCCCTCTTCTCTTTACACTCGTAGATCCCTGCCGGGAGGGGGGAAGGGGAAAAGGACACTGAGCATCCCCCTCGCACCTCTCCGAAGTTTCTCTTCGCAGCAACACGGGGGGTCTCCCCCCTCCCCTCTCTTCGCCCTCAAACTCTGCGCAACTTGTTGGGGGCAACCGGAGGCCGGGAGGGGGGACCCCGGGCTGGCCTTGGCAGGGCAGAGGGGGCGAGCGGAGCCGGGGCGGGGGGCACCGGGCCGGGCTGAGCCCCGCTGCCAGCTCCGCGCCGGGCAGGGGACACCTCGCCGGCCGGAGGGAGAGAGGGAGGGATGGAGGGAGCCGCGCTGCCTTGCCTGGCTGATGCCCTATCAGAAAAACTATCTAGACAAACATAATTTTATTTTTTCCAGGGTAAGGAGGTTGGCACGGGCAGTTATGGGAAGGGGCTGGTGGGAAAACCGCTGCCCCCCCGATACTTCCAGGCGGTGGGAATAGGCAGGGGAAGGGGCATCCCCGTTGCTGTTTTCTCCCAAAATAAAGAGAGTTATGTAAGAAGCTCCCCACCGCTGTCATGGTGAAGCCACAGTGAAAATATTTGCCTCGTCAAAGAAACTTTCCGTGGGCCTGAGACCGAGCCCGTCCGTCTCTCTCCCCCTCACCAGCCCTCCTTCCCCCGCTGTACCTGCCGGCGGGGGGACACCCCGGGGCGGCGGGGCCTGCACGGCCCGGAGAGGGGGAGCGAACGCAAGGACCACGGGTGTTCCCCCAGCCCCTCCAAAACAGCGGACACCCGCCTCCCCCAGCCCTCATGGAGCCCAAGAGGGCAGAGGGGAGGAAGACTGTGGAAGGAAAAAAATGAAAACTTTTTTTGTATTGGGGGTGGTCGTTAAGATTTCTTTTACTTTGGCAAATTAGCTTTCTTTCCTTTCTTTTTTTTTTTTTTGTTTGTTTGTTTTCCCTGCTTTTCCTTAATGCCAGGAGGCCTAACGCACCGATCCTCTTTTTTTTTAATCCGGCTAACGAAAAGAGGAGAGGTGCTGGAGCAGGGAGCACCTCTGGAGGCTGAACTAGTTCCCCGGGACCCCCCGCCTACCCTGGCCGCCCCGCCGGGGTGCGCATCCGGCGCGGGCACCCGCGGAGTCCCGGGACGAGCCCGCTTGGGCTGCCTCCTTTGTCCCACTTCACCTTCTGGGTGGTGCGGGGCTGGGGAGGAAGCCACATCTGCAGATGATCCCCAATTAGATCCCTTTTTCCCTCACCGAATACACACGTGTTATATATACATATATATATATGTATGTAAACGCACACGCAACTGTGCGCATGCACACATATATTCACCTATATACTCAGGGACGTCCCAAAATGCAAATGACTAACATCACAAATCGTAAGTTAATTGAACGTAATGAAACGTTCTGAACTGCATCTGTGCTTCAGTAAGGCGCCGGAGTGCCCGTTTCGCTTCCAAAATGAAAACTCTCCCCGGCCGTAAGGGCTCCTCCGGGCTCCCCGGCTCCGACTCCAGGCTGGATATCGGCTCCATAAAACTTTGGGAAGGGTTTGACCTCCGGAAGGGGGGTGTTCGCTGCTTGGTTTTAATGTTCGCATTTCTCCAGCGAAGGGGAACCCCTGGGCAGAGCCGAGGGTGCTCACCCAGCAAACGCCCAGGGAAAATTGGGCGCGTTGGGAAGCTCTGTCTCCTTTCGGAGATCCGAGGCTACAGCGTGTCCGTGATAGGTATAAAATATTAACTAGCGTATCGGTGGGACTGAAATCACACGCCGGAATCAGTTGAAATTAGACTGAAACCTGGCATGAATTTAAACTGTCACAAGCATCTCAGCTCTTTCCAACTCCTCCCTTCCATCCCCACCCCCAGCCCCTCTCCATAGATTAGATTAGCTAAACATACAAGCCAGAATTTCCATATACAGGGAAGGGGAGAGTAGTAGAGATTTTTTTTTTCGTTCGTTTGCATTATAATTTTTTTTTTTTATTTAGGGTTTGATGTTTTGTTTTGGGGGTTTTTTTGGTTGTTTTTATTTATATTTTTTTTTCCTGGAGCATGCCCTGCTTTCATTTTTTAAAACCATCCTCTCCTGCTCGAATGATTCTTCTAAACTGAACCCTCTCGTTTTGTAACGTCTCAACCAGAGAAGGAAAATCAGCGGTGCTGGGTGGCACCGGGTTGTGCAGAAGCCCGGGTACCCGAATACGCGGTTATACCCGGTCCTTCGGTTTGGGGAGGGGGGGTGGAAGAGAGGAGGATATTAAATAAGCGTTTGGGCTGTAAATTAAATTGCCTTTCGCCCAATGTTATATTAAACAAGATCAAACAGTAGGAAACAGCTGAAAGACTGCTTGTTGTTCCCCAACCTATTAACCGGTTTTTATTACCCCGAGCTAGGCAGTAGCTCCCCAGGCAGGTCCACCTGTCTAACTTGCCTAGAGACACTTTCTCAACTTTCTAATCCCCCCGCCCTTTTTTATTCTCTCCTTCCCCTGCGAGCTCGTGCAGGATTTTTAGCTCGGTTGGTTTTTTTTTAAAAAAAAAAAAAAAAAGAAAAATTAAAATTATTATTTTTTAATTTGAAAATCTTTCCGGCTAAGAGAAGGAACGGCGTTTTACCCCTGGGCCGGGGAGTCTCCGCAGCCCCGGGGGGAGGCGGTGCTGCCCCGGCCCAGGTGAGACGGGGACGGAGGGAGCGGGCGGCGGGGGACCCACCGGTGCCTCCCTCCGCGGGGATGCTCCGTCTCACCCGGGGCCCGGGCAGCTCCCCCGGTAGCCGGGTTCCTCTCCTCCTCGCCTGTCGCAGCCCCCGGTTAGGACGGGCTGACCGGCACAAGACAAAATGGGGAGGGAGAGCCCCTTTCTCCGCATCCAGCTTTCTCCCAGCAGAAGCAGCATCCTCCTGAGGGCCCGGAAGCAGGAAGAACAGGTCTCCTGAAGGCGTTAAAACTCCCCGGACAAGGTTTCCCTTAAAAAAAAAAAAAAAAAAAAAAAAATACACGGATAGACAAAAATGTCTGACGTCCTGCGCTGCCCCCTTCCCCCCGGGCGAGCGAACGCCTAACGCCCCGGATCGATCCGGGATGCGAACGGGGAGGGAAGGCGGGGGGGGGTGCGAGAAGGAGTGGGGGGAGGAAGGACAGAAGTTGCTACTTATTTTTCAGGGCTACATTCGCGATAGGCATGCGGGAGTACGTGTGTCTGAGCCGTTATGTTCCCGCCGCTGCGGGAGGGAGGCGGCCGGAGGAGGGAAGGCAGGATGCGGGAGGCGAACCCTCTCGCCCCTCCGGGGCCGGGGTGACCGGTTGGCCCCCGCTGCGGAGCCCCGGGGGTGGCGGCGGAGGAGGAGGAGGAGGAAGGGGCCGAGGTTGGCGGCGAGGGGCGCGGGGCAGAGGGCGGCCGGGCCCCCGCTCTTACCTTCCGCCGTCCTGCCCGTGCTGAACTCCTTCAGTTTGTCCTTGTCGCTCTCTACGTGGTCTTTGAAAAGATGCACCGGGCAATGGTTGCTGCTCTCGGTCATGTCCTGCAGGTTAGAGTCAGAGTTTCCAAGCTCCCTAGAGCGAGCCAACCCACTCTCCAAAACTTCCCTGTACGTGATCGTCTCCTTCTTGTTGCTGCTGCCACTGCCGCCGCTGCTCTCTTTGCTTTTCTGGTCAAAAGATTTGGATACAAAAGCCGTAAGTTCTTCCATGGCTGCCCGGTGATCTTTATCCACAGAGATCCACTTGTTTTCGGGTCGGAGATGTGGCCGTCCTCCGCACGCTGTTTTTGCACGTAGAAGATGGGCTGTATAGGGTTAGATCACTCCTGCTGTTATTTATGCCTTTCAATTTGAGATCACACTATTTATACATGGCTACCTCAGCCCAACCCCCAGCTCTCCCTGTCTCCAGCAATTACTGACTGCTCCATAGTCGCAGGCGGACTCCTAGCAGCTATCTCCCCCACCTCAGTCCAGCAATTGGCTTTCTTTTCATTTCATCACTCTTTGGCATCTTTGCACCTTGATTTAGGGAGGCAAAGAGGCAAAAGCGAAAAAGAGGGGGAGAGAGAGGGAGAGAGAGAGGAATAAAAGGGGGG